GTGGCCAGAAACTGAGTTTCCTGATAAGTATATACAGTATGTGCGCAGTGTGTGCACACCAGAGAGCCAACGTCTGAAGGTGTGTAATGACTACTGTTAAAGACCAAGTGCCCCAGTAAGCCATTGAGCCGGCATGCAAAATACAATTTAAACCTAGATTAAATGCAGTCATAACTAAAGGAGTGCACTCAGTAGAGTGCAGAGATCTGCCAGGAAACAGATGGTGAAGGACCTACTGCAACTGCTGCAACCAGTGGAGATGTGAAATGTTTTTAATAAAGTGTTTGTTTACTTTAATATACATAGAATAGTGGAATGGTAGTGTTGGTAATGGCTCACTGTAACTTACAGAAATAACCTTATACCTAACTGTAAAAAACTTAATAAGGAAACAATAAACAAGATGATGAGGTGTGCATTATCAGGAAATGGATGGCATGGAGGCCGTTGATTCCTGATTATGGACACCTCGAAGGGCATTATACTATGGTCACTTGCTAAAAAAACCCATTGCAATAATTTATATTTTCATTTTCATATGTTTTGCAATCAAAATCTAAAGTCTTTTAAAAGTCATAACTCAGTTTCCTTGGTAACTCCTGAGGGTGTGACTAATACCTGGAAGAATCATTGCCATCCAATATGATTCTAATGCAATGGGAACATAAGTTCAGAGGGGCAGTGTGGGGGTTTGTGTGTTACAGTCTCCATCAGAAGATAAACCACTGAAGAACTGCACTCAGTATTGATACATTTATGAGATATTCAGATTTTGTTTTCATTCAGTTTATTTCAGCGCATTAATTCAGAACAGTGAATCAGTTTCACTGAAAGTACTTACTAGGAATCCTACATTAGGAATGAATTAATTAATTAATGACACTGTCAATCACTGCAACCACAAGAGATCCTAGAGCATTCAGTCATAAATGTGTACAAAAGATATGAAGCTGGTGGATCCAGTAGTATGCCGGTTAGCTGCAGACAGATACACACACAAACACACACACACACACTAAATTCATATCCCCTCCAGGCTTACACCAGGCGGAGATAATACAACTGAGCAATCAACAGGTACACCCGGTAACAAATATGCCTCTGTTCCTTGGGGTAACTCTCCTCATAAGGTCTGAATATCAGTGGAATATGTTGGTTTACCCCTGTGGTTTTCCTGCTGTGACTGCAGTCTGCAAACGGCTTATGTGAAGCTCTATTTGTCAGCCTGGTAAAAATCACAGCGACTCAAGGATATTCTGCTTGTCTGTGAAGAGGTTTGTAAAGTCATTTGGCTTTTATTATATGTCTAATGCAGAAAACAATGTGCCTGGTTAGTTACAGCCCCTTCAAAAGTACTGATAAATGTCACTTCTTCTCTAATTAGCTGCCAGGATTATAAATCCTGAATTATTCATGAATCAGTTTGTTCTTATGATTGCAACAAATCTTTATCACTGCAGAAACGTTCACTTGTCAAGCACAGGTGTAAGTAAGAACATTAAAGGCTGCATTCAGTGCATGTGTTAAGGTGTCAGGTACTGAACTTGCTGGCTCTCTGATTGAAGGGAGCCATCATTAATGTTATTAGTTACACCTGTGCATTGCCTTCTAGGGCAAGTTAAAATGTCTGCTGTGAGAAGGGATACGATGGCTGATAGAAAAAACAGTCAAGGAAAGAGCAGTGGAAATGAAACTACTCACAGAGCTGTCAGTCATTACAGCCACAGTCTTGAAAAGAGCCAATCCCCTGTGTGTGTGTGGGGGGGGGGGGGGCACATACAATGCTAATATTTATATTCATTCACATTTTACCATGACAGAAAATAACACAGCAAAACACAACACAAAATTCAGAAATACCTCCATGACTACAAAATCAAATCTCTAAAGCTGCTTTTATCAATGTTAACAATGGATGAAATTACTACTTGTGGGCTATGTGTAAGGGGTTTCCTCA